GCAGGTCACAGTTCTCCATCCCTGTACTCAGACACCATGCTTGTAAGTTTTCCAGCTGACAACACAATAAGGAATTCCAAAATGAGCTCTGATTTTTCTCCAGGACTCTACAGTTCCCTGCATAGAAAGGGCTCAATTAGGGACCAACAGGTCTTCTAAGGCACAGTGTAATGGATTGGAAAAAGTCTAGGGTAGGAGTCAATAAATCTAGAATTTTTCTTTTATAATCTCTTCCACTTGGTATAATGCTAAGAGTGTGGCCTTTGCAGTCAGATAGGCATTCCTGGCTGTACCGCAGTGGGCAAGTTATGTGGCCACTCTAAATCTCAGAGGCACCATTTGTAAAATAGAATTCTGCAGACATGTGGTAACATCTCCCTACAATCACTTTTACCAGGCAGTGGAGTGGCTAGTTGGACAGCTCTCCATTGATAGTCCAAGAAGACTTCAATTGATACATCCCTGAAGTAACTGGCACAGTGTAGGAATTCACAGTTAAAATATTTAAAGTTTCATCATTCAGCCTTCTGGAGATTTTGGCAAGTTTTTAAGCTAGGAATTTCCTGACCCCCCAGAGATAACCAGCAAAAGCAGAGATATCAGCTCACACTTAAAAAAAAAAAGTTGCTTGACATTATAGAGGCACCTGGGAAAATGCTAACACATGATAAAGTTAATTTGCTCAAGGTGGGTAACTGTTGTCAATAAAGATTGGTAAACTTAGTGGATTTTTAAAAAATTTTAAGTAGGAGATTATTTCACCTCCTCCATTGGAATATTTGATTTGTTCTTCAGGATTAAAGAGGCAGCTATGTCCTAATGTTCATTCAATTTTAGGATAACGACAAGGTTTCATGAATGCGAAATGCTAGTTACACAAATATGAAATGGTTCTGTGATGAGGATACTGGGCACATGATAGTCCCATAGGCATTTCACCTGGGACCTTAGCTTTCCTTCTAGAACATCAGCAAACAGTTCAAAATTAATGTAGCACACCATGCAATTTGCCATATTGCTACACTGGCCTGATAATTACATAAAACCTAATTAGTTAAAGGGCAATTCAAATGAAACTCTTATTTGGGGGATTTAGAAGTATTAAAGCAAAGTAAAAAAAAAAAACAAACAAACACTGCAGTTCTCTGTATAGCATGACCGCAATTATTAATAACCCTTGGGTGGGAAAATGATTAAGCTTGTTATTTTCTTCACGATCCAGGTTCCTACAGTAAATCAGTACTGCACAAAAATATTTGGATGCCATGTGGAAAACAACTTTTACAAGGTCTCCAACTGGCATAAAATGTTTTCAAGTATGAAAACATCTCTGGGCCTCCTCAACAGGCTGATAGATCCCTGCAGGTAGCACTTCCCTTGTTTAATGATTTTGCCAATTAAATCAAATTAGAGATGATTTTTTAACTCTGTGATGAAGGCACTGCTTATTATAAGATAAAACAGGAAAATTAGCTATTTCCCTTAAGTGAACTGTTGTTTTAAATTTAATAAGTTGGGGGTGGGGGACAGGCAAGGAATAGCCAAACACCTTCATCAATATTATACGCTTTATATAACATCACGCCAGTCAGTTGAAAGTAATTTAAGGAAATCATCTAGAGTCAGGTTCACAAAATGTTCACATCTCTTTTCTTTTGTTTGTATTCTATTTATTTCTAAACTCCAAGAGTTTTGAAATGGTCTTCCTTGATGTGATCTTCGTTTTGTGGATGGTTTACCTTTAACCTCTGACTCATCTGTTATTCGCTTTTGTAAGAAGTGATAGTCACCCACACAATGTATTTGCACATTAAGCCAATTCTTGCTGGTCTAATTATGCTTTTTATAATATACTGTTTAACATAATTTCTGTAGTCATTTGCTTTTCAGGACCAAAGATCAGATGACATATACTAGAAGGTAAGGATCAGTTTATCACTTGAACAAAAACACCCACAGCAAGCCAATATTACTTTGGGTTATCAGCAGCAAAAAAGGTTCACTTGGATAAAATTATGAATGTTTACTTATAAGCGCATAATACATTTTATTAAAAAATGCAATCGGAAGGAATTCCTGCCATATCAGGTAAAGTGAAAACATAGATCATAAGGCTCAAAGGCTATCAGATTTATTTTGGGATTCATTAATTGTTGACAAGATCACCAGTATTTTTTCAGCCATGGCCAAAGCACGTGAGAATGACTGAGTTCTAAGTCAAGTGCCCTTAGGATGATTGGGAAACCTGTTCGTTAATAGATAGACAACAGCAGGTACGAATGACCTTAATGGGAAATTTCTTTCAAAAACATTTTTAGCAGATGATCGGAAAGGATGACCACTCTGTCCATGCATTTGAACCTTAATGCAGGCGTTGGCATTTTAAGATCTATACTGAAATTTATTAGGGCTCCAAAACCTATAATCACGGTGTATACAGTGTATGTATGGAAACTGACGGTTATGTACATCAATAATCTACAATCGATAATATACCTCATTTGTTTTCCTTGAGATATATTGTGATAATCAGGGTCTCATGGGTGTTACATCTGTTATAATGGTATCTTTCTATATAGTTAGTGAAATTATATTCATTTATTCCTTCTTTGGGGTAATGAAAAAAGCCCTGGCAAACTCCCATAACTTAGCTAAATATCTGAACAGCTTCCTCTACTCTGGCTTGCACCTTGAGAACCCCATTCCTGTGCCCTCTGAAACAGGCGGCAGTGTCATCTACGTGTGAATTCTTGCCCTTTGCAGAGGAAAGGAATCCACGAGTGCACACAACAAGCACCTTATAAGCCCACAAAGAAGGAACTTTCGAATGCCATTAAAGCAGCTAGAAGATACAATCACGTTTGATGGTATTACTGTAAATCTCTTTACCTTGAAAGCCAGGCAACAGGCAAGCTAGTCATGTGTGATGTTGGGTGACCTCTGGAAGCTCTTACATCCTGCTTGCTGGAAATCTGAGAAAATACTCATTGCATTCTAAGCAGAACAGCCAGAGGCATATCAAAGGCAGGGTCTGAAATATCACTTTTAGTCAGAGGGTTTTTATTAGGAGTAAATTTTCCTAGGTTCTTGGTAATAAAGGTTAATATGTTTTTTCAAAGGCACAATGAAGCATCCTTTCAGGTCACCACTGATTTCAAAACAAAACAAAACAGAAATGTCCGGATTTGGTGTGTAAAAGGTCAACATCTGCTGATGCTCAGAGATGGGGGATGTGGTGGAGGTGGCCGAATGGGATGTCGAGTGAGCAGGACAGTTAGAGGGGCCATGCAACATACAACTGACACTCCAAACAGAAAGACACCCCAACGCCAAAGAACTACTTTTCCATCCATCCATTTCTGAAACTTCTGACAGGCCAGATCACGAGAGAAGCCTCAATAATCTGTGTCAGCTTGCTTCTACTTGCTTCCCTGTGGCACTAAAATGCACGTGCAAATGCAATTGTCAAGGCCTGAAAGGAGCACATTGTGGGGTACATATACAGTTAGGCAAATGCCAAGGGGCATACTGAAGCAGAAAAATTAGACTGTTAGAGCCAAAGGTTTTCATTTGCAAGTTTCTAACACTGATGCTGTTTCAACCAGATCACAAAGAGGATGCTGTAGCATCAGGCTGGTATCTCTAAATGGAAGTGAACACTACTTCTATTTACAAAGTGGCCAATTTTCATGGCATTTACCACATCTAGCGCTTAAGAAATCAGTGTCCAGGCCTATTCACAAGCCCAAGTAAACTGGGTTGATTTATAAATTGGGAGACCTGACTGTGCATTTATAAGAAGCAGGAAGTTGCTTTATCCAGATTATCAGGGCATTGCTTTTTAGATGGACGCTGGGAATTGCAATTATTCAATGGCTGTTTACACTGTGATCACCGTGCCTGGCACAGCACCTACACCTATGAGGGGTGACACTACAGTGAAAATTCTCTCTGCTTACCAGGCATAATCTTGCTAATAAATCAGTAATTTATTTCCAATCAGTTACTTAGCAGTTGTTGAAAGATTTTAGCCAGTAGAGACAAAGGGTGCAATATATAAAAATATGTAAAATTTTGCTGTGTAAAGTTATTGGGCACTTTCTTAATGGAAATTTCAGGCTTGGTATGAGGGCACCATTATTTTCCACATGAAGAAGGAGCTACACCTGGTTCTCCCGTGATAGCAGGGAGAAAGTTCTTTGTAGTGATACTGGAGAAGTGTTCTACAGATGATTGAAGAGGGGTTTCTCTTCAATTGCTTAGATTCATACCAACAAATTTATTGCAGGAATTTCTAGTACTCTTACTCCAAAATTCTGCACATATTTTTTAATGCTCTTTCTCTATCAAACTCAAAGCTAAGCAGTCAAGAAGACATAGATCATTGTATTTGAGAAGGGAGAAATGAATGCACAGATTCTCTTTTTCCTTTATCTCTCCAGAAAGACTAGTGATCACAAACTTGCCTCTTTCAGGCCTTCACAAAACTTAGAGTTTAATGCGTTAACCAAATTCCCTCCCCTTGGTTTCATGGACTTTTTCTTGGGTTCTGATGAATCCACCCAAGGCATGCATTGGCTTTCATTTTCTGCTTTTTAAAATTATGTTAGAAATCCAAATCCAGTCTAAGAGAGAGAGAGTTCAATTTGTTTGCTGGTTAGTAAGTATGGATAAATAGGACTACTTATATTTTTGCTAAATGATGATGATTATCTAAGTAATTGCACCTCAGTCTAGGTAGCCCTCATTGGTTAAGAGTATTTCAGGAAAGCCGTAGCACTGCCATGTTCATGGAGTTATGCACAAATAATAATTTTGACTGTGTTCTCACCAGATCTGTGCAGAAAATCAACACAAAAATGCAATTCATAAAATACCCTATCACATCAGAAATGGACACTGGGAAAATAGATCTGAGGAGCTGAACGACAAAGCAAAGCTAGCCTAGACTTGGTTTGGTGTTTTGTTGTTGTTGTTGTTGTTGTTGTTGTTTTACTTACTACCAATACTGGAAATACTGGGGATACCTGGAGAGAAAGAAAACAACAAAGAAAAGCTGTTAGCTAGTTATTACCATATAACATCTTCAACTTAATATAAAAATCTCAGAAACTTGACACGATAACATTCAGACTATTAGGAAATTAGCACACACAAAATCTGTGTGTATATATGTATGCATATACACATCACACACACACACACACACACACACACACACACACACACACACATCACACAAATTTCCAGTAAGTGCAACCATTCTCTTTTCATTCTAGAACTCCTGGGCTCATCAGAGTTGTGAAGTTAATACTCATTTCAGCATCTGGTTCAAGTAAGCCTCATGACATCCAACATTTTGTGTTTCTCTTAAGATTAATGAACATTCGTATGTTGTTCAAAATAAGACAGTAAACCAGGCTTACATAATGGGCACAGAGTACCAAATATACACTGTGTGGACCTTTGCAAATATATTCACATATACAATAGACCTTTAAAAACGTGTTATGAGACGCATGTGTTAGCTGTTGAAAATCACCTGGCATTTTATTTGATTAATTTCATATAACCATCATTTTTATTCCTCTTTTACTTGTCAGATATGTGGATTAAACTCTGTAATAGAAACTTAATTGAGCAGAATAATTCAAGAATACATTAGGTTGTTCATATTGATCATGGACTTCATCGATTTTTCAGCTTTCACTTTAATTCACAAGTTGTGCCAAGGTAGCGGAGCCATTTCAGAATATGGCTGGACTTGGTATAAATGTGGACATGAATTTAGTCTGTATCCAGATTCAAATTCCTAATTAAACAATATAGTTCTGTGGCCAAGAGTCTGGGCTCAGAAGTCAGGCTGTCTGAATCTGCTGTTTGACTCCAACTCCTAAATTTGACCTTGTGGCAAGTTGCTGATCCTCAGTAGGTCAGTTTTTTTTTTTTTTTTTTTTTTTTTTTTTTTTTTCAGTTTTTTTTTTTTTTTTTTTTTAATCTCTTAGGGTTGTTTGCAAGAGTTATATAAACTGATAAATGTAAAGCACTCAGAGTATTGCTTGACAGGTAGTATGTACTGGATCTGTCTTTGCTATGATTACTATTATTGTTATAGCTCATTCACCAAGCAACATTATGATAGATGCTGTGAATTAAAAGCCAGAGTACATCTGCACCACTAATTTGGGTAGCTGTTTGGGTGAAAACATGTGATGGGAATCACACAGCACTCAGTGAGAATTCTGCTTTACTATTGCTCAGCTGGGTGATATTAGACAAGTCTGCTAGCTTATCTGCACTGTTTCCTCATCTGAAAAAGGGCTAGTAAGATCTGCATAGGGATGTCATGAGGGTTGAATGAGATAATCCATAAAAATGTCTGACACATGGTATGCAGTCAATAAACAATAGCTGTTAAAGAGTTGTTCAGACTTGTTCTTTACATTACTGAAGTATAGTAACAGGTGGTAACTGTAAAAATCATTAAGCTTCTATTTAGTATTTATCTTTGAACAACAGCTCTTGATTTATTTTAACTAATCATGGTAGCTTGCTCTGAGATTTCTAGTTTTGTATTCTTTAAAGCCAAGAACTACTTTCCTATTTTGTATTGGGTAGGAGAGAATAAGAAATTAAGGGTTACTATGATGTTTTTAAAACCCTGGAAATAATGAAGTCTGAATTTTAGTTATTAGAATCATAAAAACATATTGATTTTAAATGCTCAGAGTTTGTATGCTTCACCTTAATTACTGATCAACCAAAATTGGAAATCCAAATTTCCATTTCCATGTTTTAACTCTATCCTACGAATTTCAAGCTGAATATGATTTCTGCAAAGGACTGCTGAATTCCTGACCTGACACTTCAATCCACTACATTTGCTGCAGTGTGACAGTGACTTGGTACTGAATCTTTATTTTTTTTTCTTTTGCAAATCCCCTGTTGAGTGAGATATGATAGCAGCATCCTAATTTTAGTATCAATTGCAGAAGTTCCAAATTTCCCCGTAATTGAAAATCCTGCTCCATTGCAAGGCACTGCTTGCCTCTTGTAATCCATCAAAAAAAATGGAAGTTGGAATGCCAGGAAGAGACTTCTCAAGTGTTTACAAACTTAAATGGCCCTAGAAGGCCAGGCATTATGCAAGGCAGAGATCTCAGGGTGTTTGGCATGATACAATGAAGAATAAACTCGCAAGACTGTTTGATGCAGGACTTGCTGCAGCTGAGTACTTTAGAAAGATGCATAAATTTTTTCATTCCTTTGGAGATACCAGTGCAGGAAAGCAATGTTCATTCTAAGTATAAAAACCTCACCAAGTGAGGATATTAGGAGATTCTGTTTTTCTCATGAAGATGTTTTCTATTACCTAACGTTGGATTCTTAAAATTCAGGCTCTTCCTCATTTTGTGGCTTACAATTTTTTGTGGTGCTGCCAGATGAGTCATTTTTTTTTTTATTCCTCTGCTGTAAAATGGGAATTGATTAGAAAAGGTTTTTAAACTGCTCATTTGAATGAAGACCTTTGAAGCTGAAAATATCTGAACACCAAGGGATGCCCACTAGTATATTTTTAAATATCATTATTTTTTCTAATGCTTCTTATTTTAATGCCCAAATACCTTGTTTTTTGTTCTCTGCAGATAACTAAAGAATTGAATAAACCCATAAATCCATTAAAAAGGCTACAGGTAAGCCAGGAGAAATTCCTCAAACACTCAAGGGAATAAGACAGAGAGGCCTAGAAATGAACTGCAACAATTTATTTCATTAAAGGTAGGGTGTCTTTGGGGTTTGTGAGGAATGAATCAATGAATACAATTCCATCTTATAGCAAACAGTGACTGTACCTAAAAGTCACAGGAATGTGAGTCAGATTGTGCCCAGGAAAACTGTCTAGCCACATGTTGGCAGTTTTGTAACATTCTCTATGAAGTGACAATTACCATGTAAAGAATATTATTACATTTGAAACTGAGCTCTGCAGTCATTTATTTCCTTCCTCCTCCATATCCCTGATGTAAGTTAGCTACTCTCTCCTTTTGATGCCACAGCATTTTGTACAGGCCTCCATGATCAATTTATCCACTTGTTTTTGCCTGTCTTCATGTGCTTGCTTGCCAGAGCTGAGGGCACAAGTTCCATGTCTTGTTCCTTTCTGTACCTGTTGTATCTGCCTGGGAAAGCGTCTGATGACATAAGAGTTGCTCAATGTATACTGGATAAAAAATTTATTACTTATTTCCATGAAAATTTCTATCATTGTGAAAACATCACTTTTGGTCAAAGTATGATTTTATCCCCTATAAAATGCTCCACTGAGACATTTTTCAGAGTTCAGGATTAATGGAAATTAATTATTAATATTAATAATAAATATTATCTTTGAACACATCCTCCATTCTTATAACAAGAGTTATGCAGTGGACAAATTCCTTTTACCATTGTGCCTTCTATGAAACTCAGAGCTCAGTTTGATGCTCAACTGGGGAAACTGTTTAGCATTTAATGTCTGGCCTACTTCCTGTCTATTCCTTTTCTCGGATCTTCTGCTGAAATTTCATTTTTTGATACTCTTATTTGTATTTGTCTTTTTTCTTAACATACCCAGAGACGAGTGCAGACTTTGTGGGGCATAAAATGTGTACAATTCTGTGTCCTCTCTTTAAGAAATGGAACATAACATTAAACTATACAATTAGATATATATATATATATATATATATATATATATATATATTTAATTTAGAAGGAGTCCAGTGAGGGATCCTGAAGTTTAAGCTCCATGAGCTCAAATTCAACTCCAGAACAACCTCAAAAATACTTGGGAAAGATAAAGAGATGATAGGTAAATTAAAAAGAAGGAAGGAAGATACTAGATTAGTTAGTTCAGAAAGTGTGTTAAAAAAAAAAAGAAAGCTGAAAGGGATTTAAGACATCTTCTCATTTAGCCCTATCATTTTATAGAAGTGGCATAAAGAGATTCCAGGGCCTTTTCCAAGTGCACCCTTTTAGAGTCAACATCGGAGCATTAATTTCTAGTCCCTGTGTGAGACATTGCTGAGCTTGTGCTGAGGAAATGAAGCACAGGTGTGCATGAGGCTTTTTTTTTTTTTTTTT